CCTGACAAAGACTGGAGAAACTGCGAGAGTATGGCACCTGGACACCCTTTTAGCACAGTAATGAAGCCACTCTGGAGGTTCACCTTTTAGCCAAAGATTAGACTGACCCATAGGGCAAAATGAGACTAAAGGGGCACACCAGCCCAGGGGCAAAGATTAGAAGGCAGGAAGGGACAGGAAAGCTGGTAATAGGGAACCCAAGGTCAAGAAGAGAGAGTACTGACGTGTCATGGGGTTGTTAACCAATGTCATAAAACAATATATATACTAACTGTTTAATGAGAAGCTAGTTTGTTCTGTAAACCTTCATTTAAAGTTCAGTTAAAAAAAAAAAGAACTGATGGTATTGAAGGAAGAATTCCAAGCTGCACTGAAGGCACTGTCGGAAGACAAGTCTCCAAGAATTGACGGAATACCAATTGAGATGTTTCAACAAGTGGATGCAGTGCTGGAAGCACTTACTCGTCTATGCCAAGAAATTTGGAAGACAGCTACCTGGCCAACCAATTATAAGAGATTCATTATTTGTGCCCATTCCAAAGAAAGGTGATCCAACAGAATGAAAAAATTATCGAACGATATCATTAATATAACATACGAGTAAAATTTTGCTGAATGTAATTCAAAAACGGTTGCAGCAGTACATCCACAGGGAACTGCCAGAATTCCAGCAGGATTCAGAAGAGGACGAGGGATATCACTGCTGATGTCAGATGGATGTTGGCTGAAAATGGAAAATACCAGAAAGATGTTTACCTGTGTTTTATTGACTATGCAAGGGCATTCAACTGTGTGGATCATTAACAAATTATGGATAACATATTGTGAAGAATGGGAATTCCAGAACACTTAATTGTGCTCATGCAGAACCTGTACATAGACCAAGAGGCAGTTGTTCAAATAGAACAAGGGGATGCTGCATGGTTTAAAATCAGGAAAGGTGTGCATCAGGGTTGTATCCTTTTACCATATTTTTTTAATCTGTACACTGAGAAAATAATCTGAGAAGCTGAAGTATATGAAGAAGAATGTGGCATCAGGATTGGAGGAAGTCTCATTAACAACCTGTGATATACAAATGACACAACCTTGATTGCTGAAAGTGAAGAGGACTTGAAGCACTTACTGATGAAGATCAAAGACTACAGCCTTCAGTATGGATTACACCTCAACATAAAGAAAACAAAAGTCCTCACAACTGGACCAATAACCAACATCATGATCAGCGAAGAAAATGTTGAAGTTGTCAAGGATTTCCTTTTACTTGGATCCACAATCAATGCCCATGGAAGCAGCATCCAAGAAATCAAACGATGTACTGTATTGGGCAAATTTGCTGCAAAAGACCGCTTTAAAGTGTTAAAAAAGCAAAGATGTCGCTTTAAGGACTAAAGTGCACCTGACCCAAGCCATGGTATTTTCAATTGCCTCATATGCATGCAAAAGCTGGATAATGAATAAGAAAGATGGAAGAAGAATTGATGCATTTGAATTATGGTGTTGGTGAAGAATACTGAATATACCATGAACTGCCAGAACAAACCAATCTGTCTTGGAAGAAGTACAGCTAGAATGCTTCCTAGAAGTGAGGATGGTAATAATATGTACTTTGGCCATGTTATCAGGAGGGACCAGTCCCTGGAGAAGGACATCATGCTTGGTAAAGTAGAGGGTCAGTGAAAAAGAGGAAGACCCTCAACAAGATGGACT